TCCCGGGGTCAGGCCGGGGAGGGGGGTCGGAGATGTCTTCCTCCATTGGTTGGTGGTGGGGTAGGGGGGTGTCTGCTGGAGAGGGAGCAGTCTACTAATGTGAGTAGTATATTGAATGTTTGCTGAATATCTTCAGAATAAAAGTCTCGAGCCCTGCATGAAAGGAGGAGTGATAGATCTGTATTAAATTCGGGCAAAACAAACGTATCCGAAAAGAAAAAGTACTCACCAGCAGCATCTGTTACTTTTCCCAGTTCTCTTGAATCCAAAGACCCTGACCGATCCACGTCAAACTGGAAAAAGTGTGCCTGTCATGGAGAAAAATACTGAATGCACTAAACCACGGAAACAGCATCTAACTTAGAAGAGTGAAAAGGTTTTGGCATGTTTGAGCACGTGTACGGACCTAGATTTTTATGATTAATCATAAGAAAATGACAATCTTTATTCATCTCGCAGGGGGAAAAATCGCTTTTATCATAACATCAGCCTTTTAGGGGGGGGGGGGGGTACATTTCTGAACGTTTCTGAGGGTGTTTTTTTATCTGCTTGCGCCTGTTTTGTAGCAGTTAAGATTCTTCGTCAACTTGATGCAAAAGACATTTTTTGTATGACGAGTTTAAATAATTTTGTATCTGTTTGCTGGAATGCATCTCTCGGTCCGAGTTGGTGCCCGATAAGCAGGATCGAAATAGCCACCTTCTTGACAATGCGTTTGAAAGTATAAATTACCATTGCCCACAATACTAAAAACAACAACATACCTTCCAGGTGCTTAAATAATCCCACAAGGTCTGGAACGCGTTGAACGACAGTTTATTGTAGCCATCAGCCTTTAAACATGTTAAGAAAAACTACTTGCAAATCAGTCTTCAAATAAGCAAAGCAACGCCTAATTAGAATATACTGCTGCATTTAAGATTATAAATAAAAGTACACGTAATGATCTAATACTTCTCTAATTCCCTTCCTCCATAGGCCTCCTTGATAGGCTTCAACGGAGCAGAATGACCATAATGTTTAGTTTCAACAAGTTGCATTTGCAACAAAATAAGGTCATATAAATGCCGAAGATTAGGGGTTACAAGAGAGTAACAAAAATATAAGGATGATAGGTTTGATAAAAATGAGCAAACCACCCCAGAGGACCGCCAGCCACTGCTGGTCAATGCATTTGGAAATAAGGAAAGTGAAAGGGATGTCCGAGTGACAGTACTCAGAGGCGAAGCGTCTACCAAATAATCACTGCTTCCCTTCCTAATTCTGAAACATTGTCGCAGTCAAATTCACCCATAGACGTAAACCTCATAAATTAAATGTAAAGAGACGTTCATGATCACCAATGAACAATAGACTATGCCTAATCTTCAAAACCGTTTCATTGCCACGGAAATAACTTGTTCGCACCTATCGGGCCACTCCATAAGCAGTCGCAAGTTTTGATTAATTTAAGTAAGCTTAAAGTGAGGCTGGAAGAGTCTACCAGTAGAGTTGAAGGGAACATGTGCATAGCAGTCACAACTGTTTCATTTGCCGCATATACCCTGTTCAACCCTTTCGAGCCACAGTTATAACCACCCACATCCGCTGATCATGTAAGCTAACTATTACACTGGTCGAGTCTACCTCACAGATGTGAGGGGAACTAATTCCTAATATCTTGACTGCTGAGCGTGCTTGTTTTTTTCCTGACTTTTTAACGTCCTATAATCAGATCGTGACCTCGATGACACCGGCTCCTGGCCGCGAAAAGCTAGACAAAAAACAGCCAAATGTGAAATAAATTAATAATTGGCATGCTCTACCAAACTGTTTCGGCTGCCTGCCATTGTAGTACTGACATCTCTGCTTCTGTTCGTGTGTTCAAATCTTAAGTTAAATTTAAGGTTAGTTAGAATACATATTAAATAAAATACTTTCCCCATTATTTTAGCGGTTGAATATGCATACAACATGAATTCAGGATTTGTTTTCATTCACAACTCAAGAGTTGCCGCCTCCAGTCTCCTTTTTATTTTTGTAAAGTGTTTTACGGCGCTCGCAACTGCATAGGCCATATGAGCGCGCGGGACACACCTAATATTTTCAGTTGGTAGGAAATTTTGAATTTTGCCCGGGTGGCGGCCGAAGCCTTCTCTTATCGATTTTAGACCACCAAGGAATCTTAACGTGCGCAACTTGCACACGGGCCCTCCGAGATTTTTGTCCGAGAAGGCTAGGTGTAGATCTTTCCTACCAGAAGATCAGGGGTG